TTAAACTTACAAGAAAAACCTCACAAGGAAAATATGTTTGCATAATTCTCGAACAAAGAAAGAACACTCAAGAATAAATACAATTAAGCACAATAAGTGTTCTTGAAAGCAAAATGAATATAGAATGAAAAATAGGCTTGAAATGCTCAAACTTGAGGTTTGATGCTTTCTCTTTGATTCTCTCTTGATTCTAATTGCTTGATGTTTCTTGTTATTGATCAATGGCTTCTAAGCTTGCTTAAATACACCTTGAATCACTTCTGAACGTTGGGGATGATTAGAGAAAATATTATAGCCGTTTTAGTGTGAAAACAATTAATAAAACAGTTTGGAGCGTGGGGGGAATCGGTTCCCTAAGTGTAAAATTCAAATATTTCAACCGTTATACAACGGGGGGAATCGGTACCCCCTAGGGGGTAATCGATTCCCTCCGAGCATACTGGAATTCTCGGAGCCAAACCATTTAGGGGGGAATCGGTACCCTATTGGGGGGGAATCGGTTCCCTCTGAGCAATCTGGAATTTTTGGCTTTGAAATGGTTCGAAATACTTTGTAAAATTATTTTGAAATTTTTTTAATTTTAAAACTTAATTTTACACTTTGAGTAAGGATTAAAAATGATATTTGAAAGATTTAGAGTAATGTTTTGATATTTGAATAATTCTATCGAATATACTTAGAAAATCATTTGGAAAATCTTAAATTTCGTTTAACTTAATTTGTTATATCAAAATATCAAAATGTTTTCAACAGGACCGGCCGGTTCAACCGGGAACCGTTGCTTAGTCCGGTTTAATTTAAACCGGTTGAACCGCTATTAGTGAACCGGCCAGAACCGCTGAACCGTTCGAACCGGACCGGCTGAAAATCGGAAAAAACCGAGAAAAACCGGGATTTTTGTTTTTTTTTTAAAAAAAAAATTAAATCAAACAACGTCGTTTGTTAAACGAGCCAAGTCGAACTCGAGTATTGCTGAGCTCGACTCGAACTTGAAAACTTTAAAAGTAAGCTCAACTCAACTCAAACTCACAAGCTAAAAATTATCAAGTTCAACTCAAACTTGAAATATAATATTGAAACTTGAACTCAAAAAAAAAAATTATAAGCTCGATTGAAGCCTAAAATTCGAGCTTGATTGAAGTGAAAGAATAATTCACTCAATGCTCACCAAAAGGCTCCATGATTTTGAATGCCAAATTACCTCTATTATTTATAGAAGTTAGTTTTGATGCGCTTCTATGTTTCTTAGCAATGTGAGATTGTTTTGTTCTCATATTTTTACTCTTTAGACTTTTAAGATGCTCTTCTATGTTTCTTAGCCATGTGAGATTATTTAAAAAAAAATTAAACCAAACAATATCATTTTATTATGATTTTTTTAACCTCAAATTTATTTTTTAATTATAGTTATATAATTATATTTATTATTTAATATATTTTACCTTAAATATTATGTTGTAGTTAATTTGAATCATTTTGTTTTACTTGATTTTATGGTTTTTAACTTATATATGTTATGACTTGCTTTGAATATGACTTGTGATATAAAAAATTATTTTTTTATTAAATATATTTGGTATTTTTATTTAATTTTTTAAATAATTATGACGTCGTCCGGTTCTTCTGACCGATCGAACCGATTCGACCGGTTAAACCAATGAACCGATAGCATGACCGGTTCGTTAACCGGTCCGATTCTGAAAACATGATTCTTAGACTTTCCAGACAGACAGATACATGAAAAATATACACTGTAACAATGGCTTTAACACAAGTTCCAACCTCGTAATTGAACCTGCATCACTCAAATTAGAAAAGAACATTCAAACGGAGGAATGCTCCTCCCATCAATCAATTATTCCCTAGTTTCACGTCTTTAACATCCATGTATATCCCGCCATTTGAGGTAAACCAGTCCTGCACGATAATGAGTGTATGCCCCGGCGAGAACCAAGATGTGAAAAAGCTGGTGGCTGTGCCCCAGCAATGTCGATCTTTCCAGGCATCCACCGCTAAGGTATCCTTGCCGCATAGATCAAAGCTCCAATACCATAAAATATCCCCATCAGAACCTCATACCCAGTTGTGTGAAGTGCCTCGGGCTGATTCCAGAACAAGATACTTGCGAAGAATGGGTGCTATTCCTGACATACCCATTCCAAAGAAGAGGGATGTACGGATGATGCGAAACTCGGGATTCTGAAACACTGGCAATAAGGAAAATAAGATTGTCGCGACTCCCAAGATGGTTATGAATCCCAGATAGAGGTTACAGAAGAAGGGATTGAGGGATTGTCTCTGAAAAGACGGATTAATATACAGTTAATATACGATGTTACCGGATATATTAAAATATATTTAATAAATTCGGTTTAGCGCTACCGGAAATATCGAGTAATAATAATGTAATAGGTGAAAATCATGAAGAAATATTAAAAAATTTGGCAACCGGCAAACTTAGTTTGTCGGTTTGTGTCGATACTTTATAAAAATATATTAATCCATAACAATATAACAAGTAAAAAAATGACAAAACCGGTATATAAATAACAAAACAGGTAAAGCGCTACCGGATATATTGAAAGTGTCAATACTTTATAAAAATATATTGATCCATAACAATATACAGGTAAAAAAATGACAAAACCGGTCTATAAATGACAAAACAAGTAAAGCGCTACCGAATATATTGAAAGTGTCGATACTTTATAAAAATATATCGATCCATAACAATATAATAGGTAAAAAAATGACAAAACCGGTCTATAAATGACAAAACAGGTAAAGCGCTACCAGATATATTGAAAGTGTCGATACTTTATAAAAATGTATCGATCCATAACAATATAACATGTAAAAAAATAACAAAACCGGTCTATAAATGACAAAACAGGTAAAACGCTACCAGATATATTGAAAGTGTCGATACTTTATAAAAATGCATCGATCCATAACAATATAACAGGTAAAAATTGACAAAACCGGTCTATAAATGACAAAACAGATAAAGCGCTACTGGATATGTTGATAGTGTCGATACTTTATTATAAGTATAGACACTTTTGGAATTTAAAAGAGAATAAGTTATAACGCTAATAAAGTGTTGATACTTTATAAAAATGTATCGATCCATAACAATATAACATGTAAAAATATGACAAAACCGGTCTCGAAATGACAAAACCGGTAAAGAACTACCGGATATGTTGAAAGTGTCGATACTTTATTATAAGTATCGACACTTTTGGAATTTAAAAGAAAAGAAGTTATAGCGCCAATAAAGTGTCGATACTTTATAAAAATGTATCGATCCATAACAATATAACATGTAAAAATATGACAAAATCGATCTCGAAATGACAAAACCGGTAGTAAAAAAGTGTGCTCGTGTGGTTATTTTTATTTCAGAATTTTCATTTTTTAATACAAAAAGTTAGATATTTTAAGCAAAACCCAGTAAGAAAAGAACAAAAACTTTGCAGTAACAAAAGAATAACATTGAGAAATCTATCATGTTATCAGTTTCTCAAAGAACAAAAACCCAGAAACAGACATCTCTCAACGCAAACTTATGATTTACTCTTATTATCTCGATAGGATAAAATTAGGTCAGTTTTAGTTTTATTTTTTTTGTTAGGATTTTGTGTCATTGAAACTGTTGATTGAATAACTCAAACTGCTGCACGCATAAGTGTCGATCCAAAAAACATCGAAATCGATAATTATTATGTAACAGGTAAATTTACAATGTAACCGATAAAAATATACTGGTTAATTAACAAATAGGTTTACATTATGTATCGACACTCTTTAAATATGTGTCGATACTTTTTTCCCAAAATGAAAGCAAAACGAGGTGCACGAATAAAGTGTCGATACATTTAAAATTGTATCAATCCCAAAAACATCAAAACCGATAATTATAATGTAATAGGTAAATTTGTAATGTTACCGGTTTAAATATACATCTTTAATTAGAAAATAGGTCAATATAAGCGCTACCTAGTATATTATTGTACTTGATAATATTTTCAGTTAAATGATATAACATAATCGGTCTAAATTTTAACCGGTCACTTATTTAACATGTCACGCCGTTTTTTAGTCGCCGCACTGCAAAAATTCCCCACATGAAGGAGTAATACACGGGTGGACAGAAGGAAGTAGATATGAGAGACGCAATTTCAGGGTAGTCTAACCTGAGCATGATATATGATAGACGCTCAGAGTGGCAAGAGGGAAGGTGGCATGTGCTGCTAGCTAGCAAGCAGAACATCGCACCACCTAAGAAAGCAAAAAAAGAGGCCATCGGGTAATCGGTCTCATCATCAGGGCTGCTATTATGTTCGCCACATCCTCCTTCAGACCTTGCTGCAATTAGAAACAAATATAAAATGTATTAGCTGCATGAAGCTCCCAGATGATGACACATTAAGTGTTCACGCATTCACATTTCTCTTAAAACTACATACACTATGGATCCATAAATAAAAACTGCCAGCTGCAGAAAATGTGACAAGATTCAAGAACCGCTTGAAGATACTCATTTTTTTTTCATTTGAATATTATTTATATTTTATTATTATTATTATAATTATTATTATATTATTATTATTATTAAATAATTTTATTTATTATTAAAGACCCAACCCAAATACAGAGGCCCAAATTTGGTGGCCCAACATTAACCCTAAATGATTAGGGTTTGTATCATCTCTGCCCTAGCCGCCAACAACAACAGCCATTGGATATGGCCTTGATCCAACGGTCCCCATATGCTCCAGATGCAAACCCTAGGGTATGATACCCTAGGGCCACGTCCCAGCCGCCACTTTTGCTGTCTCCACCGCCACCGTTCCACCCCGCTCAGCCGCTGCCACGAAGCCTCCAGAAGAATTGAAGAGAACCGTCCACGTTGAGGGCTAAAGGTGAGTCACCACTATAGTTTGATGACTCACCAAACTACAACCCTTTTACCCGGTCCGAGACAAGCACTGGTGATGGCTATAAAGCCATCAACCGAACCTGCAAAGAGAGGACAGAGAGGAAGAATCCAAGAGACAACACCAGCAACCAAAATCCGAGAGAACAACAACCAAAACCACCAAAATAAAATAGATAGAAACCTTACAGAGCCGAAGCCTCCAAATCTCGTCGGAGAAGCAAAATATCGAAGGTATTTTTTTAGATCTAGGCAAATACGGGACGCTTTAAGAAAAACAAGGGTCAAAGTTGAGCGTAGATCACTCGGATCTATCGTTCGAGAGGTTTTTGTATTTTCCGGCCACCAGAAGCGGTGGCCGGCGGTGAGGTTGGCGACGGCGCAAGGCTGCCGGCCGGTGACCGGCTTCCCTCCGGTGAGGGAAGCTAGAGAGAGGCGAGAGAGAGTTTTATAACTCTCTCAGTTAGAGAGAGAAAGTGAAAGAGAGAAATGAGAGAAATGGCCTTAAGGCCGTATGGGTTGGGGCTTAAATACCCCTCCCCGAACGACGCCGTTTTGGGGAGGGGTTTGTTTATAATTTATTAAAAGTTAAACCCCGTCCGCAGTCCAGTAGTTTTGTAATTTTATATTATAGTCACTGGAATCAAATTTACAATCATTTTAATTTGGCCTCTTAATTTTATTTAATTCATAATTTAGTCATTAGCATAATATATATTTTAGGTAAATAATCGATTTAACCCTTGTAATTTTATTAATTAATATTTTAATCCTGACAACATTTATTTTAATTTGATATACAAATTTTATATAATTTTATTTTAGTCACTAAATTAATAAATAGGTAAAATAGCATGTTTAGTCACTTTAGTTTTAAATAATTAATTACGAATTAGGATGTTTAATTTTAATATATTTTAATTTAGTCATTAACTTTAAATTATTAGTTTATTATTTTTAATTTCATTTATTTTAGTTATTGTTTTAATTTTATATGTTTATTATCAATATATTTAAAATATTATTATTATAAATATATATATAAGAAATAATATATATTTTATTTTTATTAAAATCCTTTATATAAATTATTTTTATATAAAAAAATAAAAATAAAATATAATCCTATTTTAATAATATTAAAGAAAAGCACTGTCTTAAAGCACCTAGAAGTCCGTTTTCTGATATTTTTATCATATAAAATATATACTAATTTTTAAGAAACATTTTATTAATATTTCTTTTTTTAATATCGAAGAAAAGAGCTGTCTTAAAGCACCTAGAAGCCCTTTTATGATATTTCTAAATAAATAAATATCTTATTTATATAAAAATTAATAGATTTTCTTAAAATTATACTAATAAATTTGAAATAACAGAATTATAGATTAAATATATTTTTGAATCATTAAAATTCTAATAAAAGAGAGACAATTTATAATTAATGAGTACCAAATTTTGGGCGTTATAGGGGTGCTAATCTTTCCCTAAACGTAATCGACCACGAATCCTGTTTTATTAAAATTTTTTGTTATAAGCAGATCAATTTATCTTTTAAATTTTCTTAAAAACTATTTTAAAAAATTGTTTTTTTTTGTATTTGACCTACCTAACCCAAAAAGATCTATGGCGATTCCCAAAATATTTTTTAATCAAAATCATTTATTTATTTCATTTTATTTTTCCCGCCAAGTAAAATTTCATACCCGGACGAAAACCGGTTACGACAGCTTGGCGACTCTGCTGGGGACACTTGGTCAAGCTTTAAAATCAATTATAAATTGTCTCTATTAATTAGAAATTAAAAATTCATATATTTAATTTATAATTCTTTCTTTTCAAAATTTTTATATACTTATTATTTTCATAATATTTATATGTATATTATTTTATTAATGTTTCATTTTATTTTCAAGTATTTTATTTCATTATTTATTTTTCTGTTAGAGGGTTGAACATTTCTCCTCACACACAACACATGCATTGCATAACATAAGCTTGTCCCTTTTAAGTGCGAGTGAAAGCGACTTCTTCGTGAGAATTTATTCTCTGTGTCAGACCTAGCAAGTAGCTTTCGGGGTTCATATGCTCTATGTCTTCGTGAGAATTTATTCTTCGTGTCAGGCATAGAGAAGTGTATCCCCTCGAATTGAACTCGATCCACTTTAGTCTGTGATGGACTAGGATTGAGGTTTGGCAGCCTAAGGGGGGCAACAACAAGGACAATTTGGGTACCTTTACTCTTAGAACTGAAACTTTGCATATAATAAACCCTAGAAACTCTTCCGATCTAAAGCCATGCTGAAATTTTGTCCAAAATAGGTGTACACAAAGGAGAAATGAATTCTAACTTTTTCCTTTTAATTTATTTATTTATTTTCTTGTTGAATAAATTGCATGTGAAGTTAAATTGTTTAAAGTATGTAGAAAGCATGTTTAAATATAGATATTTAGGTAGACATTATTATTAAATTATTTTTTCTTTATTATGTGAACTAATTCATTTCTTTTCGTGTGTTCTTTTATTTTTGATGTTTGCATAGCATCATACAGGATAAAAGGTATTGATCTTCAAGTTAATCATCTCATTGGAAAACCTTCATCTATGGATAAAAAGTGTTCAAATCAAATAGTTCCAAACTCAGAAGTAAGACAGTGGGCTGAGGACTTACAGAGACAAGGGGGAGACAGACTGCAGGATGATTATGTACCCGAGTTAGCAAGTTATGCTCCGGTTTCACTAAAAAAAATGATATGCAAGATTTGTGAGGCATTTGGGAGAGTTGGGATTCAAATAAAAACTGCAGTTCTACCAGTCTTACGGGGACATCCCATATTTGCTCTATGTCGAAGTTGATGATGACTTACTTTGAGCCCTAATTCAATTCTGGAATCCAGGGTATAATTGCTTCACTTTCAATAAGGAGGATTTGGTTCCTACTATTGAAGAGTACACAACTTTGCTACATATAGAAGGGGCTTTGAAGAATCGAATTTATTCAAGGTCAGTTAAAACTCAACCTTTCCGAGCCAAATTAGCAAAGATTGCAGGAGTACGAGAAGAATGGGTGGTATCCCGCACGAAACAAAAGGGCGAAGGCGAAGGCATTGCTTGGACCAACATCAAAGAAATTATTCAGAGTCATCCGGATGATAAAGTACGATTTGATATTTTTGCTTTGGGTATATATGGTATGGTCATATTCCCAAAAGAATTGGGATACATCGAGGCTGCAATAGTAGATTTGTTCGAGCAGCTACCAAAAAGGATCAATTCTTCTTCTGCAATTCTAGCAGAGACTTTTCGATCGTTAAGCGCGTGTAGAAGGCTAGGAGGTAGATGATTTTCAGGATGTGCACCATTGTTATATGTATGGATCCGTAGCCATTTTTGGAGGACAAAAAAGGTTTCATACCGTCGCTTTAGTACGGACTACTCACTATTGAAAGAGTTTCTGGAGAAAGAATGGCCTAAAGAAGTTACGAAAGATATGTGGATCAATGCCCTTCGGAATATACAAAGCGACGATATTGTTTGGCGCGCCCCGTGGTAAATTCAAAGAGAATTCTTTTACAAATGTGGTAATTACAACTGGGTGATGCTGCTCAGTTTGTGGGGAGGAATTGGATATGCACCACTTCTGGTTATAAGACAGTACGAGGGTCGTCAATTTGTTCCTGTTACTGCTGGATTATATTCGTCTGAGTTCGCATTTCATAGAAAAAATTACAAAAGAAACATCATGGATGTTGTTACGGCTTGGAAAACAACTTTCTGTATTCGAGCCAAAACAACAAAAGTAATGTTAACTCCTAATTATGAGGAATGGATGTCTGTCAGGAAAAATGAAAATATTCCTCTACCAGATCAAAATGAGGATATCTCCATGGAAGATCAGATTAAGGTGGTTCCATCAGAGATTAAAATTCTGAGAGCTGAGTTTGAAGCAGAAAGAGAAGGTTGGTCGAAAGAATTAGAGCAAATGAGACGAGATAAAGCTATGTTGGGTGTTGATGTTGACTTTCATTCAGCACAATGTGCAATGCTGAGAGAAAACAAAGAAAAGGTTGATGGTGAGTTCAGAACGTTAAAGAAAAATTACCATGAGCTATACAAATCCCGGAAAGTATCAGGACCGAGCAGATCAACAGTACAGATGACCAAAGAATTGAACATCGAGAAAAGCCGAGTTGAAGATTTGAAAGGAAAGAATAGCCGTCTACTTAAAAGCCTTGAGAAAGGAAAGCAGAAAATAGAGGATTTTGAGGTTGACAGAAGGGAACGGATTATAAAGCACAAAGCTGAAAGCCGCGAGATCATGAATGAAATGCAGAGAGAAAGGGATCGAGCCAAAGAATTAGAAGAGATGAATAACAACATGCTTGAGAAATTTGAAGGTGAGAAAAATTCCATGTTCAAGGGATTTGAATCTGAAATGAACAATCTGATTGCCGAACTTGAAGTCAAGGGCCAAAGGATTGAAGAGTTCGATGTTGAAAAAGAAAAATGGGAATTGAAGAAGAAGAGTTTTAACACCAGACTTGAGGTAGAGCAAGAAGTGGCTAGCAATTGGATGCAAAGATACAGAAACAAGAATGTTCAAATCCAGAAGCTTAGTCAATGGACGCAAGAAGCATGAACAAAACTCGAAGAAGATCTAGATCAGTCTAGAAACAAAAACTCAGAGTTTAATGTTTACATTTTACAACTTGAAGAGTCATTATTTCAAGAAAAGGTTCGTCTAGTACCTAGTGATCTTAAAGAAAGTTATGAGGAGAATGCTTCACTGCGAAGACGCATTAGAGATCTTGAAAAAACTCTGCACAATTATCAAGTCAAAATCACTGAGTTAGAGCAGACTCTCGAGGGAACTAATGAACAATGGCAAAAATCGACTGATTTCTATGTAGAAAGAAGTGAAGAAAGAAGCAATATGATATTCGAGGCTATGGTACAAATGAGCGAAGTTGCCAGATATGTTGGGGAGCTAGATGTTGAAGCAAAAATAATTGAGCATCACGTTGATCCAGTTTCCAAGTATGGAAAGAAGATGACCTGGTTGATGAAAGAAATTATAGAGCTTAATAGGAAAGCTACACCGTATCTGTAGTTATGAACTATTATAAAGAAACTTTTGTATGTCGATGGAAGTTGTTCTATGACAGTTAACTTTTTGGGATCAATACCTTTTGCATACATGCATTTTGTATATATTCATTATTCATTGCATTATTTTCTTTATTTATAATTTTTACGTTTACAGTAAGATAAACATTCATTAATTTAAATTTGAAAAAATAATATCAAAAGAATTTTCAATCGCAGTTATTCTGGCCAAACGAGAAATACAACATCACTACGGTACTAGACAAGCTACTAAGAAAATCATGAAGGATAAAATACACGTATTGAGG